TACTTCTGTAGACGCGGTTATTCAAAGATTTATTGGCCCCTCAGAAATCGGTATCTTTGGCTGAATTTACTAGTTGACTAATTTTAACGACTTGTAGTGAATCAATTATTAATTAAATTTGTGCAATTTCTTGGAGCCATTAAAATAACAGTAAATATTTCACAGTTATAGATTATAAATGACTTCACCATGCTCAAATTTCAACAAATCAGAGAACAAACACGAAAAAACACAAAAGTTAAATTCAATTAAAATTACTTTTATTTACTAAAAGTCCTGGTGGTCTTTATAGGTTCGAACATCCCCCGGCGAGAGCGAGTATATGCTTGCATCACGATAGAGTTCGAATGTCCATGCTTGGACAAAGTGGAAGGTGTTAGAGCGATTCCTTCTCATTTCAGACAATTGTCTAGAATATACGTTTACAACAAATTGGGCCAATTAATGAGGCACTACAACAAATTGGGAGGGGAGATGGAAGGGGATTTCTCGAAACTTCGTGAAAACCCTCACGTAGACATGGCCACGGGCGGCCCGGCCCGTGGCCCGACCCGTGACCCGATACCGGACCGGCCCGGCCCGGTACCGGTACCGGCATGAATAGTGCCGGGTTCGAGAACCGGACCGCGGCCAATCCGGTCCGGTTAAGGGTCATGTTTTTTTTTGTCCCGACGGGCCGCGCAGGGCCAATTTATTTTACTTTTTTTAAGGGTCGTACCGGCCCGTGAACCGCCGGGCCGGTGAACTGGCGGTTCGGGCCGGTTCTATGAACCGGCCCTTCGTTCCTAGTGGGCCGGTCGCGGTTCGGCTGTTTGAGGGCACGTGGCCCCATCTACCCTCACGCGGACACAAGTCAATAGCCCTGCTGCCTCCAGTCGAGCCTCTTCGACATGACCACCGACTCAGTAATTTTCTTGCTCAGTTATTTAACACACAGTTTTTATCTCATAATAAATGTTTGAACATGATATTTAACATGGATTTTATGTTTTGCTTTGACTAGCTATTTTTAGTTCATTGTATGGGTTGGTTGCCGGTGTTTTCTTATAAAGGATCCTATGAGGACCATCGAGTTTACTTTTGATTGAGATGTGCCCTTTAAGTATACCACATAGTTGTGTGGAAATTTTAAAGTGATTTTCTTGTTGCTTGGTGAAATGAGCCAGATTTATCTATATGTGCTTGGGCGGTGAAAAGAAACCCAAAAATGGATGTTGCAGATCCGAATTGCATTGGGTGGACCAGAGATCCTTTTGGCATCTCTCGCTGTACAAGTTCACTCACAGGTCTCCATATCTATTATTGATTCTTGCCTTTTCATTTTTTATCTTTTTCTTTTTTAAAATGTTTTAGGTATGTAGGTACAGGTATGTAGGTACGGATTAGGGCTCGATAACCATTGCATACTGTAGAATTTGTTACGCCGATGTTGCTTGGAAAACGAACAAACTTGGCCACTAAAAATATTCTTTGGGGCATGATTTAGGTGAACCCTGAAGCTTGGAAGCATAATATCATAGAAAGGGGGCTCGATCTTTCGTTTTCTTGATTTCGAGTTTGTGATCATATTGTATACAAATTCTTGTGCATGGTATTGATAAAGAGAGGCGTGAGTTGCATTTGCAGAGCTTTGTTATGTGGGTTTTGTTCTTCCTTTTTTATTCTTAAAACTTAAAAAGAATAATTATCTAGATAAGTTGATAGTAATTGTGTAGATGCAGGGGTTTCTTAATTACACCTTAACCAAGAAATGTATTGTGTAGATGCAGTGAGACTTTTGATCCCAAAACTACAAGAACAAAAAACGATGCAAGTAAACTATTATTTATTACTGAAGGAATGAGTTCTTATCAGGGAAGAAATATGTCTCTTTGAAGGAAGATTATACATTAGAGTAATCCAAAAATGTAAGGAAGATTATATATTAAAGTAATCCAAAAATTTATTCTCATCTCTTAGTAAATTACAGTGTAAATTTATAAACATGCAAATCTTGAACACAAGTAGTTTTCTTTACTGAAAGTGAACTGGGGAAATATTTATGTCAGTGTTCACATTCATACATTTGATAATTGACACATGTATAATAACAATAATATTAGACATATGGCATTAATTTAATGGACTAAAACATGAACTGTAAGAAATATTGGAACAAGAGTGAACCCAAAATATTAAAGGTCTTCTACAAAATGAAGCTCTGACGTGTAAATTTCCTTGCGGTGCGCATGCAGAAGAAAAACTACAAACAAGATAGTGGACATACATGACCTAGGCAATTATATTTCGGAGACGTACCTACGTTTTCTTACATCAATTGAAAATAGCCACATGAGCAGCACACTTGACAATTGTGAGATAGATAAAAAAAAAATCATGAGTATTATGTTTATGAATCAATAGACAAAATCGTAAGCGGATAACTTTGACCACACACATACTGGCTTTCAGAAAAATATTTCCATAAAAATAAAATAAAACACAATATATGTGAACAACTGTAACATACGAAGCTGCAACAACTTATGACAAATTTTTACTGTAGTTTTACACGGGGTGTTAGACCGCCGTGCGTGCACGGAGTGACCAAATCTAGTATATATATATGTGTATATATATATATATATATATATATACTAGGTTGGACACGGCTGTGCACGCACAGCCGGCCCTAGTTCAGTCTATAATTATGTCTAGTATTTGTAAAATTTTCAAAACACACTTACCCACATTTTATGGAGCAACCAAAATGCCACATATTTTTTTGTTTGTTCAAAATGTTTTTCACAAATATTTTTTTTTCAACAATTGTTTTACCACTCTTTTGACTCATTTGTTTGTAACATTCAAACAAATTTCTCAAAATAGTTTATACTCTAAACCATTCTCATTCTTCAGTTTATTTTGTAGGTGTACCATAAAATTACCAATTTTTATACCCTATGTTTTATTGGGTTCTGATAAAAGGTGGCCAAATTTGTTTTGGCGGCTTATTTTGGCCCAATATGTATACATATATTTGTACTTGTCTGAAAGGAGAAAATGGCCTAACGTGTTCTGCTTTGTCAAAGGGCGTCGTTCTCATATTCTCCGTTTCGCTGTTCATCACTTGTCCCCAAAATCATGTGGTAGTCAGAGTTGTATAAGGCAACCTAGAATGTCCATAAAAGTCGGCTAACAACGCAATCCAAAAGTAATCTCTAATAGGCGTGCACGATGCATAGCTCATAACACAACTAAAACACGTTTTTCATCAAAAGTATGTACAATTTCAGCAATTAGTTGTGAGGCTTCTTCATGGGGTGGATGGGACCGCTGAAGTGCTCGAACTGCCAGTGTCGCTGCAGGATGCATGGGCGCAGGTGTTGTCTATTGGAGGATTGGAGGAGGAAGTAGCAGTGCCATCCAAACGGCAACACGCGTGCTGCGTTTGTCCTTGAGGGATCTGGTATATTAATGTTCATGGCGGCGCTTCCATATTCTTCTAGTCATGCCTTGGTGCTTGGTTTAAATAGCTGAATATCAGGCTCCTCCTGTTGGCCATTTGAAACAGAATGTTATGAATACATTGTTTGGACTTCTATTATGTTGCAATAAACAAATTTAGCACGAGGTCTAATATTTCAACATATGAGTTACTTGTGCAGCTGAATGGTCAAAGTCATCCTCATCCAAGAGCCCTTCAATTTCGTCCATATATAACTTCACGATTGAGTAGTTTGTGGTGTTGGCTTGGTATTACCTAAAATTCAACAAATTTTGAAAAAAAAAAGACATTAAACTAAGAAATCATTAAAAAAAAAAGAACACAACTTAATTATTCTCTTATACCAACATAACACATTATCCATGCAAAAGTAAAAGAACATATGAGAATAACTAAGTTGAGTTCTAGCTCCATACACGACTACACAGTGAGTCAGTAAGCCACGGTCTTGATAAAGCTAAAATATAGAGGATATTCCCATTAAAAACGAAAAGAAACTTATGGGTTCACAGTTTCTATCAAGTAAAAATAAACCAGTTATTCGTTGTATAGGGTTGGTCCACAATAACATCTTTATTCTCTTCAAAAATCTGAGTGATAGCATGTTCGATATCTCCCAAAGTAACCTCAATTGAACAAGTGAAAAAGAAAATAAAATTCTCTGATTAGTTGCAAGAGAACACTTGTTTATAAAGTATTTGTAAGAAGTAATCACGACTACACACAAAAAAAAAAAAA